TCATTGAACTAAGATGTACCCCATGGCCTTGATGGACGTCTTTCCGTTATCTGACGACAATCTACTTGCCTCATTTCCACACGTGTTTTCTCTGCACACGCTCGGTAGTACTCCTTCCCCTCCAGTACCAAAGCCGATTCTGGAGTCAGGGCTGTCGCAGTTTTTTTGCCGGTTTCCAATAATCCCAATTCTTGCTCTAGAAAGGTAAAAAAAACGCTTGTCTCCTTTGGCGTTGAATCCTTCTCTTTCACAGTTGTTCTGCAGAGAAGCTTGAGGTCCAACCAGATTCTTCCATTTGGCGCGTCCCAGGTAGGTTGGTCGGTATATCTCGTCAGCAATCAATTCGTACAGCGAATTGGCCTTCTCCTCGAGCTCAATGACGATAAATCTGGTCTGGCTCTCTACCTTCATGCCGAGACAGATCTTAGTGAAACTCGTTTTATGGTAGGTTTCCAACTTGGTTTCCTTGTCGTCGAATCCTGTCGTCCCATTTTGTGGGTATATTTGGATGCATGGGTGCTCCAATAACTTGCACTGTAGTGGAAGGTTTGCTGAAATTAAAGGGTAAAAAAATTGCTTTTCTGTAATTAATATAGATTCTCCGGCTCTAGCAACTAGTGTTAGCCAAAGGTTACGGAGTACGGGCCACAACAATCGAAGGTCAAAACGCTTTTGCTCCAGCGCTGTGCTTTGCGTAAGTTTCATATAACCGATATTCAAAAACACGCGTGATCAGATTACGAGTGATGAAAGTTCCAAACGAGCGTGATTAAATTGAGTTCTGTGCATTATATTAATAATCATCTTTATTGAGGAAACTTTTTCATAAAAGATATGGTTTTCAAAAAGGACCTCAAAACTAGATATATATTATAAAAACAAAAAAAGCTATAAAATTACAAAGGGATTAAAAAGATACAAAAAATGCATAAAAAATTAAAAATAAGTATAAGTAAAAATTAAACGTAAGTAGCTATATTAAAAACCGGGGGGGCACTTGGGTATTTTTTGGGTGGGTATGTGCCGCCTGGGACTCCAAATTGGCACCCCGTTCTAAAAAAAAATTCCCCTAAAATTGATACCCCGTTCTAGAATTCGCCCCAAAACTGATACCCGTTCTAGAAATGGGCCAATTTTTTATACTTCGTTCTAGGGTGCAAGGAGTACAACAGTTTACTTGTTAACGCATTGAACCGTATTTTTAAAAGCAATCTGTCCTTGACTAATTTCAAATGGCTGCTTACAAAACTGGAGCTTTCGTGCGTTCGAAATATTATACCCCGTTCTAGAAAACGCCTCTGAAATGGATACCCCATTCTAAATCAGGAGCTTCAAAATCACGACCCCGTTGGGCGGCACATACCCGTATAGGTAATGTATGGGAGTACCCCTCCTCCCGGGATTAAAAACTTAAAAACATTACGTTTAAAACTATTTACATTCCTTGAGTCTCTGATCGTCTGACTGAGGGAGTTAAAATCGGAAACGGCATTCCATACATTCTTAGTGGAATTCCAAACGAATGCTGGCTAACTACATGCGACGCAAGCGTAGTATATAGTAATAACCAAAGGTTACGGCGTGCTGGCGACAACGATCGAAGGTCAAAACGCTTTCGCTCTAGGGCTGTGCTTTGCATAAGTTTCGCGTGACACATGGTCAAAACACGCGTGATCAGATTACGAGTGTGTGGAAGGTCTAAACACGCGTGATCAAATTGGATTCCATTCATTCTTACTGAAAGTCCAAACGGATGCTGGCTTCATACATGCGACGCATGCGTATTAATAACCTAGATATTAGGATTACGGATTCTTCTTGTCGCCCGCAATGAAAAAGTACAACTTTAAAGAAGAGTACCTGTGTACCATCGATTTTCATGACAGTAGTCCATCCTCCAGTTCCGCATCCAAAGTTTCCATCTCCCATGTGACAGTAAACTGGTCCGGGACGAATCCCTAGGTCATACGCGCCACTTTTACGTTCTCTGCAAATTGAAGACGTAGGAGTGTTAAACGTTGGCACGGCACGCTCCATGTTATATAACTAGCTTTGTCAACTACTTTCAAAAGAATAGAGTAGAGTAGAGTAGAGTAGGGTAGGGTAGGGTAGGGTAGGGTAGGGTAGAGTAGAGTAGTGTAGAGTAGAGTTGAGTAAGAACTGGATAACAGGATCGTGCGCAAATTACACATAATTAACATTTATCTTATGACAAAAAATATAAATATTTCACAGATTCAAATTCTGAAAATCTTTTTGTCTTACACATTTTGTTATTATAGTTCCGGCAGCTTCGTAACGAGTACGAGTGAACGGTAGTTACCCTTCCACTCATGGCAAGGCCAAACACAGGGTTGGATGGTTTTAAATTACGCATAAATGATTCGCAAGCAGCAGCCCTACGGTCTTTTAAAGACGGCAGGTCACTTAGTATCAATGCCTCATCATAATGTAAATTCGGAAGAATTATCCTAAGGGCGCGCTCTTGAATTCCCTCCAGTCAGACAGACTCACTTTGGCAGATTCGAGAATACAGCCGAGGCGAATTCAATTACTGAATTCCCGAAATTATCATGACAGTGCTCGAGTAGGGGCCGTTTTTTATGTAATTGCTTTGAGCTGTAATTGGAATGCCTCGTTGTTAATTTAAACTAGTTGTTAGTAGGTTTCAAGAGTCGGCCCTAAGATAATTTTCGCTGTCGCTAAATTTTCACGTGCATGCGCACGTAATACATTTTACGCGCGAAAATAAAAAAGAAACAATATATGTATGGAAGGTCCAGCGTAAACTTAAAAATTAAAAAGGCTGAACTTTTACGCGACAATGGAAATCCACCCTTACTTTGGTATTGGTTAGGGTGTGAGCTTTGCCTTAAAAAGTCGTAAAACCAAATCCAATTCGATCATGTACCACCTTTCATTGTAATTAAAGTCGTCATTTCGTCCTATATACGTGATCCAAGATGTCATCCTTTTCCATTGGCAACGAGGTGATGGTATTTTGAATGTTACTCAGCCGTTTAAAACACTTGTTTCTTTCTCATCGATATTTCAAAAAGTTTAAGTGAAAAACATAAAAACGAAGAAGCTGCATGCCATTTGCCTGTAATCGTTTCTTGTTTTAGACATGTTTGACGGAATCAGCTCTTACAACTTACCCTTGATCATAAAGCTCCTTGCACGAAGACGGCCCTGTTGCAAAGAAAGCAAAGCAAAAAAAAAACGCTGTCACTTTAAACTTGAAAATAGGAGAGAGTCTGTGTAAATATTCATTAACTTGGAGTAAAAAGAAGCAATCAAATGATTAATCCGGAAATTTCACTATTCAGACCCATTTTTTTCTTCAAATACATTTCTAACCGGTAAACTTTAAGGCTTGTTACAAATCTTTGGGCACTCTTCACGTCTGAAATTTGGGTTGAAATGTGATTAGAAACTTCCCTTGGAAAACTGTACCTTTCTTTGTTGAATTTTTTCAGTATTCATTGCTTCTGTTTTCGGAGAGGCTATAGAAACTTGTAAAGTGTGAATTAAATGAGATTCTCAATTACAAAAAACATACAGCGGCTAGAAAATATTCGTAGATCAAGTGTTCCTTCCTTGAAAAATTTCCTCTACCTTTGTTATCGTCATGGTAATGTACTCAAAGGGGCTATGCCACGGGGATATTGCGGTCAATTCTCTTCTAAATAAAGTCATAGCTTTGATTCGTTACTATGCACAAAATGCTCTCTTACTGTGATGGAACGGTTTTGATATAGTCTTAAGTCTTAAATAACAAAACTGGGCTATTATATTTAGCAGTCAATTCAATTGGCACGAAGACACCTTTTAGCCTTTTAAAAAGCTAGCAAATAGCTTGAAAAATCGCTTTTAAAACTACATTTTGATATAATTTTAATCCAAAATCAGTAGTGGGGAAACTGCTGTTGTGATCGGACAAGGGAAGCGTTACTTCTGTTGTGAAGTATTTTGAAAGTTATTTTTAAGACAGATCTATCTTAACTTTTGAGTTTAGTTTTTGTTTCATTAAGTCTTGTTTTTGTCCATGTACTGTTTTCCCGTTTTGATCTTTTGTTTTACTTGTATTTGAAGTTATGCTTAGCTCGCGTATTTACTTATTGCCATATTAGGAATGTTACAGGTGGTCGTGTTTGTGGTGTTAGAACTGACCTTCGTTATTTGGTACTTATCAGTTGCGGCTGTGCGTAGGCTAGTCTATTCCCTGACAATAGCAAACCTGTTGCAATGTTAGCGATAAGAAATATAATAGAAACTCTTCCGGTCAGCTAACCCAAACATGTCCAGCTTTGGTTATTAAAACCGCTACTATACTTGAACTAGTTAATAGAGAAAAGCAGGAAAAGTAGGGAGAAGTAGTGTAAGCAGAAGTTGTAAGAAGATTAAGAAGAATAAAAGCAAGATGTAAATCAGATTCCTGGTACCTCGTCGTGTAGCGAGCGAGTTGCTCGAACACACCCCCACTCTTCTATGACTATTGAAAAATAAGGTTTTGATCCAAAACTGTTTTAAAACTCCTTAAATTTGGGATAGCCCTCCACTAAAACTGATATTATAATTTTTAATAAGATTATCTTGCAGTTATCGAATAAAGTTGTAAAAGCTAGTGCTTGAATTCCAGAAGACCCAGCGAAAATTAGGTATAACCTACCTCTGGCCGTTACTGATGCTACGACTAGCATGAGAAGTTTCAGAAAAACGAAAGCGGTCCTCATGATTAAATCTCGAAGATCAGGTCTAGATAAAAGAAACGCAAAATGTCATTATTAACTAAAACAGGGTACCACAAAATTATTAAGGGCTTGGTAATGTGCCTTCCTTTGCTATATCAAAAGGGTGAGTTTAGCCTTTAGTATTAAAAAAGCAGTTACCTTGTTGGGATGAGGTAACTCACTGAAATAGTGTTGATAGAATTCCGTCCACGAACAGAATGGTATCTTATCTATGAGTCACATGTCTTATAAAGATTTCGTGATCAAGGGCGTGGCAAGCTGTACGCACGTGTGCACGTCGTATCTGATTCCTGGTACGTCAGGATGGGCACTGCTGTTTAAATATCGCTGACATTGGACGTTTGTTAAAGAGGAAAAAGAGCAGAAAACAAAACAAAATGGTTACTGGTGTTTGCAGTGAAATGACAGGATCATCCGCGACTCGTCTGTTCAAGCAGGCAGAAAAGCAAACAACTCAAGCTAGACAAAGTTATGTGAGAACTGTTTTTATCTTCGCCAATTTTAGCACATTATCACGTATTCAGAAGCAGTTTTTAGTTGTTATTTGCTTCGTAACGTTTTTATAAACTGGAAAGTAACATACAATGGTGCGAAATTCCTCGGACTCTTGTTATTAAACGGTAGAGAATACTTGAACGTTTAATTGTACCTTGTGATTATATTTGAGGGAAATCTTCGTGGGAGCAAACTTTCTTTATCGCTTTGGAATAACTGAGGTAAACTTTAATTAACAGTTGTATGTGCATTTTGTAAGCAGGGCCGTAGTTAATTACCTGAAGTACACACGTACGCCTCCTAAAACTAGGGTGAAAGGTAATAAGACCCAAACCAAACGATGGTTTGATCATAGTTGAAAAGGTAAAATCGTTAATAGTTATGTAACTTTTATTAGCCAACAGCTTGATTCGAATTAAGGTATACCCAGATTAGCTACCATGTCGATTTTCATCTATAAAATTAAATAAAGGCTCCCTATTTTTCTGAAATAAAAAGTCTTGTTAAACTGGAGATGAAGGCGGCTGCTCTTTATAAACACTTCTTATTGCCTACTGTTTGACAAAAAGGAATTTCTTAAACCGTTAGTTTTAAAAACGCTTTCGCACGGAATGAGTGAAAACCACATATAACAGATATAGCGTCGGTCGATGGACGGCCTGTTTGGAACATTATTTAACCACAATTTTATTTTCCCTTTTTTTCGTTTCATCTAAGTATTTCGAAGCAGTCTTTCGTAGCCAAGCTTAAAATCTAAATGAAGGTACTGGCCCCCAGCAGCGCTACTTACGTACGTATGTATCCCGTAATATTAACATATTCTTGTAAACGATTTCACAGCCTATATCTATTAAAGGTGAAACTCTTCAAAAAAAGTAAACGCATATAAAATAGAATAAGACGAAAACGCTAGAGGTGGGGGGGTTCCAGCCAGCCCCCTGTTGGTACCGCGGTGGAGGTGCGAGTTTGGGTGTACGTGCGAGGGTTAAAATAAGATCATCGTGTGCGATCAAGCACTGTTCACGCGCGCAGAAGTTCAAACAGAATTATTTAATTCAAGGTAAATACAATAATTACTGGCGTTTGAAGTAAAATGAGCGGATCATTGCGTGCGATTAAACACTCACAGTGTTCAAGCAAGCAGAAAAGCAAACAACTCAAGCTAGACAATGTTGTGTGAGAACTGATAGAACTTGAACTTGATTGAACGTCGCAGCCGTATAAGGCTGAATTGTGTAGTACATATAAAATTTAAAATGTATTAAAATATGAAAATGGATAAAATAATAAAGGTATAAATACGCTTAAAAGTAAGATTTAAGTTAAAAAAGGTACAGTTACCACCTAAGCTACAATTTGAAACACTTATGATCTACAATAAAATTCAAGACATATCAGTGTTGATATAAAGCCATTGAAAAATTATTTTTGATCCTATTGGTAGGCCACTGGGACGGGTGTAGGCGCCTTAGGTCGAATTCACGTGGAACAGAAACACTGGCGGCGAAACTTTTCTCAGTTCATGCTGGCTATCGATCACTAACTATTCACATGCAAGTGCGCTGAACTGGTTATTCCTTTCTTTTTTTGCAAATGCGTTAGTGAATTGATACTTATTCAGTAGCAGTGTATCTTTTTTTAAATTGTTCCTGACGGATTC